TGACTTTAGATTTTTATACTGTAATAATTTTGATGCTATTTGTCACTAGATATAAATACAACATAAAACATAATTTTTAAAAGTAAAAAAAAAGGGCCAACCAAATAAATCAGTGGATTAAGGTGCCTGCAGGCAGGCGCAGGGGCTGAGGTTTCGATCCCTGGACCTGCCATGTCGGCCCCATCCCTGGGGCACACTGAGTTGGCAATTGAGACTGGGTGTGGTGGTGTGTGCCTGTAATCCCAGCTTTTGGGAGGCTGTAAACAGGAGAATCACTGAGTTGGATGCAGTAGTGAGACTCTAAACACCCTGTAGACCCTTCCCTAAAATCAATCAATCAATCAATCAATCAATGTAAAAAAAAATCAGCAATAACTATAAGTCCTTGCTGGGCTCTACCTGTACCTGTGTGGTCATATATCAGTAGAAAAAGGACTTGCAAGCTCAAAGGGGACTTTCAGTCGGGGTGGGAAAGAACAGATTGCCACTTTTCACGCTTTACCTTGTCTCTTTCACCCATAATTACTCTTTGCATCTTTCCTACACCACAGCAGAAGGGAAAAACTGTGCAGTGACTACAAGATTGGGCCAACCTTGTCCAAACCAGAATCCCCAGGGTGCCCTTGGAGCAGGGATTCACATAGGTTAAAGGAAGCCTGATGGGAGAAGAAGGGAGATGAGCCCTCGAATGAAGATGTGCAGGTGGAACAGGCTAAGGAAAGAGACAGGCTCTCACGGATGGTGACAGCGTCTACCTCGGCCCGCCCAATCCAAAACACCCACTGCCTAAGGTGCTTGTGTACCCACCAAGAAGCACTTCGGGTAACCACAGGCCAACAGGGCTCTTTAGAAGTTAGAAGTTTTCTTTTAAAGATGATTCACTTCCCTAAACTTCCTCATGCTCAGCTCATAAAGCACTATGCCCTCCTCCCTTCAGCTAAGGTGAATGGAGAAAATGCTCAGGTGCTGGCCCAGGAAGTCAGAGGCCAGCTTCCTTTCCCCAGGGTAAGAGCAGAGGACAGCTGCGGAAGGCAGTAGGGAAAGAGGGCTAGAGTTGTCTGTTTCTCACTGCGTCCCTTCTCCTGTCTTCTTTACCTAAAGGCCCCTGCACCCTGCAAGCAGTAACACGGTGATTGGTCATACTCTGAGGCCCCTCCGTCTCCTCAACGTTTGCCAAACCTCATGTGTCTGGGGGAGCAGCCAGCATGTGGACCTGAGTGACCAGAAACTTCTGTGTGTCCCTCAAGCAGTAACTGAGGGTCAGCCTTGAGCCACGCATTCACTGTCACCTTCATTAGCATCCTCAGAAGGCACACGGGAAGGTTGTAGAGAAATAGAAACAACACACCTAGGAGAGTGTGTCACCAGCTTCTCTCAACCCAGTTAACATGTCACAGCTAAGCATCGCTATGATGGAGACCAAGACATGGGAGAAAGCATTATTCAACGCTGGTGAGGATGGAAATTCATTAATTATTCTAGAAGTCAATTCAGATCTCTGAACTGTATCCATCACTAGGTGGGGGAACTCTTGGGCCAATATGGTATTGTTAGGACTTCATCCTAAGGACAGGGACATTTGTTGAAGCTAACTGACCAGGATTTAGCATAGCTTACATGTCCAGTAACAACAAGTGAGAAGTGAAACTGTGGCATATCCACACCCTAAACACTATTTCACTCTAAAAATCATGCTGGACTGATATTTAACAAAAGACAACATGTGGACTGTTCAGTAATGTCAGAAAAGCCAGGCCTAGAACAGTATTTATGTTAAGAGGGACATGAGATTTTGAGCTTTTATTTACATGAAATTTACGAGAGGACTTATACTGAACCTTAGGTTACATTGCAACGGAGACATGGAGAGTCATTTTTATTTTCTTCTTTAAACCTTTTCAGTAGTTTTCCATGTTTTCTGCGGTTGAGTTATTTCTGCAATAAGAAACAATCAGTATATGGAAATCAGGAACAAAGTATGAGAGCCTGCCCTCCTCTCGCAAGTGCTCTGTGCCAGGAGCTGTTCGTGACTCTCTGGGTGAGAGTCACCCTCAGTCTGCAGGGAAGGAACTCGCTGCCAAGGGACGAGAGACAGGGAATGGCCCTTGCTTCAGGGAACCGACAGTGAAAGTCAGCCTCGCTTCAGGTAAAAACATGTGGAAAGATGCTCAGGACTGCGTCCACAGTGAAGGGCAAAGGGTGGAGCTGTGGTACAGGGAAACCCCAAGCATCAGTTTCCTCTCCCATGGATGGTTGGAAATCCAGTAGAAAGAAGAAAGTAAAACAAATGTGAAAGAAACAAAAATTATGGGCCAGAAGGACTGGAGAAAGGGAGAGAAACATGTGTCTGGAGGACGGGGAGCCTATTCCTAAGCATCTCTGTCACTCCTTCTTAATATTCCAACCCAAAGCCTTTACCTGCAGAATTGATCACTGCACCATTCACTCCAGTGTTTGGTTTTCCCACAACCACTATCAACAGGAGACTGGGCTTTAGGCAAACAATGTCCCTGATGATGAACAAGACACAAGGCCTAGAGAAAGGTGACCTGGGTAGACAGCTGCAAATCTGACCCCAGTCCTGACTGGAAAGGAGATGGCAGCCACGCCTCCCCTGACCCCTTTGTGAAGAGCACGGCCTACATAGGCCTGTCAAGCTGCAGGCCATTTACTTAAGGGTAACTCTCTTTTGTCCTCTGTCCTCTTTTGTAGCCCGCTGAAATCATGGTCATTGTTTCCTGAAGCGTTGTGCCTTCCCACCAACAAACCACGGCCAGCTACAGCCTGAGCCTGGGCAGACCTGTTGAGGGAGGCAGCAGTATGCGAGATCAGAGCCACTTCCAGGTCAAAGGTGGAGGGAGCAGGGTGGCAGAGAGAGAGACAGCTGGAGAGGAAGAGGAAGAAGAAAAGGTGCAGTGAGTGAGCAAAGGGGAGAGGAATGGGCAAAGAAAGAAATGGGAGGGAAGGGGCAGGAGGGAAAGGGAAGGGAGAAGAGAGAGAAAAGATGAAACGGAAGAAGTCTTATTTCCAGTTAAATCTTCTGTGAATGTTCTAGAAGGAACTGGCTAGAGTCACTGAAGTCAATTTGCCTAAAATAATAAGCTAGATGGGTTGGTGAGATAGCTCTTTGAACTAAAGCAAGTGCTTAGGCAAGCACAGGGACCACAGTTAGATCCCCAGGGCGGGCGTGGAGGTGCACACCTGTTATCCCTGTGCTGGGGAAGCTGAAAGCAGAAGATCACCATGAGTCCAAGCTGTATAGTAAGGCCCTGTAACAACCAAATATAATAATAAAAATAATAATAATAAGCTAGATGGACGTGCTTACTTGAAACTTACTTTTTATATGTTCTAAAGGAAGAGCTTTATTACTGCCAAGAGATTTAGCATACAATTCCAGAATGTACTGTGACAAGAGGACAAAAGTTACATTAATCACACACACACACACACACACACACACACACACACACACACGCAGGCCAAGCAATATTTCGTGTTTTCCCATCAGCCTCTGTATTTTTTATGGGATTCTTTTTGTTTTCTCTGCCAAGATACATATTTACACTAATAGTCATTTGTTTTCTTGAATTAATTTGCTAAAGATGAAAAAAATGCCCATTTTAGTTCACACGTCACCCTGTACTTGCTCACATTACAATACTGCAAACTCCAAAGACAAGCAGCTGCTTGAAAGACCACCTATCTGAATTATGTCACTTTAACGTGCTCCTTACTATCTAGTGCACTGACAGTACCTTGCATGGTTTAGTTTTATTCCTTAAGAAAAGCTTATCAGCCAGGCTTGGTGTCATGCCTATAATCCTAGCACACTAGAAACTGAGGCAGAAGGATTACAGTGAGCTCAAGGCCAGCCTGAGGACTCAATGATACCTTATCTCAAAAAATAAAAAATAAATAATGAAAGAGGAAGCTAAAGCAAAAATAAAAAGCTTATCAAAACAATATCATTGAAGTCTTTTAATATTACTTAGTATTATATATAATGGAGCTAGACTATCTTGCATAGTTTCATACTCTATGATCCTCTAGATCTTGTGCTGAACTAAATCCAAGTTCCAAGCCACCAAAGATAATATTTTCATGCATTACAGAAAGCCTATGACTCTGGCAAGAGGTGTCCTCCTTCTTGGGTCTCTGACAGCAAAGCACAGCAACCCTCCAGGGTGGCATTGAGAGGCCACAATGTCCAGAGCAGTGCACGTCTACTGTCCATCCTCAGGGAGGGGTGCTGCCTCTGGCCCTTGGCCTCTTTCCTGAAGGATTTTTTAGCCCAAGCTTGGATCACAATCACTGTGTGATGCATCAGAGCCACTGCTTGCCCTGTTTGGGGTTTTGCCAGTCACATCAGGGCTTCCTGGCCAACATGGGCCTCTCTGTGGCTGCCCCAGCGAGCCCAGCCAGGTTGAGCAGAGCTGGGCCAAGCTGTGCTGTAGACCAGGTTCTGGTGGGGAACCCTCCCTCAGCACACTCAGCTCACCTCTAATCCTTGGGCTTGCTGAGTGCTCCCAGATGGCTGCCAATGGTGAGGCCCTTTCCAGAGCATGCCTGGCTGCTGAGGAAGCCCAGGGAGGTCCAAAGAACTTCGGTGGGTTCTGCAGCACCTGGAAGCAGACCCTGTCCCCAGCCTCTGTGGGAGTCAGTTTCTGGAAGCTCCTTAGCAAACCCAGGCAGGCCCCAGGGTTGCCAGAGAACCTAAGACCTCACTTACTCCCACTGCTTTCCGGATCCTCCACACACCTCACCTCCTACTGTCTCCTCTAAGGCAGCCCAGCACTCTGCACTGATAGCCAAGGTGGATCTCTGCCCTCTTTCCACAGTCCCTGCTGAATGCAGTCAGTCCTCACACCCTAATGAGTATCTGGGCACACCCTAGCAAGCACACAGTCAGTCTGCTCCCACAAAGATTTCCAGTAGAGATAACATAGACCCCTGCATGAAGGTCCTGCTGCACATCCACCCCACTCTCCCCATCTTACCTCTCATCTCCGTGGCTGAGGAGCCGTTGGACCAGGCTGTCCACTTGTTCCGGTGCTTGCTGATCTCCTGCACACGGCAAACATACTGGCCCTGGTCGGCTGGCTGCAGCATTAACACTGACAGCCTGTACAGCACCCCACACTGCTCTTCCAGCAGCCGCAGCCTCCGGCGGTGCATACTGCGGCTGAAGTTCCCATAGTACTGCACGGCCCGGAGCTTGGTCATCTTCACCATCAAGGCCTCTGGGCTGTCTGCACCTGCGAAAAACCAGCGCACGGCCAGCAGGCTGTCCTTGAGCCTCTTCTGGGACACGTGGCACAAGAGAGTGGCATTGTCCCCCTCCAGGTAGTCAACCACAGGCCCTGGGGACACAGTGACATTGAGAGCCCAGCAGACCTCTGCAGAAGAACAAGAAAAGGGAAGGGGTGAGTGAAATCCTTACTCCCCACAGGGACACTGTGCACAGCCCAGGAGCCCACAAGGCCTCAAGGCCGTGGTAGCTCCAAGCCTATGTGGATGGAGTGGGCAGTCCCATGCTTCCTGCTCATCCCTCCTTGGTCAGATGGTTATCAGATGCGGGCTCTCCTGTGGAATATTGGGGTTCCACACTCTCATGTTCAGGTGATCCCATTCCCATGGCTGCCAAACAATGACCACCTGGCCAGATATTGTTCGTAAAATTATAATTAGTCACTGGCATTTAAAATTCATCAGACTCCACAAAAGAATCTGCAGAGCTGGAATCACTTGAGAACACCCGGCCCATAGCCATAGTTGCAGCCAACATCCCAAGGCGTGTAATCATCAATGTGGGAGCGCTGGGGTCAGGCTGCCCTCTCTGACCTCCTGTCTGCCACAGCCTTGAGCTCCCCTTTCCCTTCCTCTGTCTCCAGTCAGGGCAGATGTGCAGAAGGAGCCTGGCAGGTTCTAAACCTGCACATTGGGCTGGAGCAGCAGGGATGATTCAGCCTCAAGACTGGGTTCTCAGAGTTAAAGTGCAGGAATGAAGATGCCTCAGGGACAGGGAAGGAAGAAAGACTGCACCAGTGCTCCAAAACATGCTACAAAATTTCAGTCCTACTCATTACTTCCTGTCCTTTTGTTTGTTAGAAACCATTTGAGGCTGCCCACCCTGGCTCAATTCTACCCAACAGCTGACGTGTGTTGGAGCTGTCCCAACCCACTTGGCTACCCAGATCAGTAGACCTCAGAGAGGCCGAGTGTTGTGACTTTTTCCAGGAGCCACTGTCCAGGGTGGCTACACTACCTTGGAGCTAACAGGCACACCCTTCTCATCCTACGGCTTGAGTGTTTTCTGCTAACATTCCTGTACTGGAAAGTTAATCCCCGAAACCACAGAGTGATAGTATTTGGAGAGGGGGCCTTTGGGAGTGATCAGAATTAGAGGAGATCAGGAATGTAGACCCAGGATGGCATTAATGGCTTTACAAAGAGGGGAAGAGAGTCCCAGAGTAGTTAAAGGCATTGCCATTCTATAAATTATCTGGTCTCGGGTGTTTTGTTATAGCAACAGAAAGCCAACTAAGAAACTCTGGCAGATAGAGTCAAGAGAGGATCTTTGCACAGAATTCTGGAGACTGCAATTTAGGCTGTCCTCTCACCAGGTTCCATGTCCCCACCTCCCTGCATTCCAGGGTAGCACTTCCACTCAAGGACACACCATACCCTGTCCACACAGCCACAGCAGCAGGCATCCCAAGTGGTCATTCCAAGTCACAGCTTCAGACCCCCAATATCTATTCTGATCACAGGACAGAGGTTGGGGCCCAGATGTCAGAGTCACCAAAGCCCTTATCCCCTGGTCAGTAATGCAGTCATACAAAGAACAAGGAGACCAAAGAAGTGGAGAAAGTGTGTCTGTATATTTAACAGGAAGGGCAAGGGTTCCTGAGGGGCCATGAGGGTGCGCAGAGTTGTCATAGAAAAAGCACTCTTTCATGTAAACCACTGGCAATGGATCTTAGTCTGCTTTAGGTGACTAACAACATAGTACTACAGATTGAGTAGGATCTAGTCCAAGTACAAGAGGCAACATCTGGTGATGCAGAGCCCTAGTGTGGCACAGGGCATCATGTGACCAGAAACTGGTGCCTAAGAGACCTACTCCACTGGCTTTTACGGCAAACATCCCCTTTCCATAGCTTCTTAGCCAATTAACCCATTAATGAGAGGAACAACGGGCTAATCCACTTAGGAGGGAGCCCTGATTGTCCCTGAAAGTCCAGCCTCTTGACAGAAATTAAACCTCATCTGGGCCTCAGAGACAAGCTGTTAATGCACAATAGTCACACTCTTCTACAGCTTTCACACACCAAATGCCTTGAGCACCCAGATGTCAGGGTCAGTTGTCCATCTTTCCAGCTCTTTCTCATCTCCTAGGAGCCAAGCACCGGAGCACAGGACTCTCCAGAGCAACCCAACAACTTTGACAGGAAGTGCCTCTGTCCCTAAGGTAGCGTTCACAGGAGAACCAATGGCACACAGCATCTCTGGGGGCCAAGCCTCAGGAAGCCACACCCTGACAGCAGAGGAGACAAAAGCCAGGAAGAAACCAGGCCAACACTCAGGTAGGCTCTGAGGCCCTGAGGAATAAGTGGGAGGTCCCCTCCACATCCACAATGATGGTGAACAAGGCCACCACAACAGACACCTGGAAATACAGATAAGTAAAGCCAAGGTGCCCTATGCTAATCCCGGGGAACCTGTGAATGTCACCTCATGAGACAAAAAGCATTTTATGGGTGTAATTAAATTCACATTCCTGGACTGCAGGGAGTGAGTGTGCCCTGCCGCTGGTCCTCCCGTAACAGTTCCTCTGCTGTCAGAAATCACTCACACAGGGTAAAAGAGGAGAAATCAGCCCTCTCTTCCTTCCCCTCTCCCACCTGGCATGCTTCTTATGCCTGGCCCTGCAACACTCTACTGATGACTGAGTTCCCATGCCAAGGCTCCCTAGAGTGCAAGGGGCATCTGGGACTCCCCACTCCAGCAGCCACCAGGGGCAGGCAGCAGAAGCATCAGCTGGTTTCCAGAACCCAAGGCCAGTCCCTCCCCCTGAAGAGCTCCCACAGGGCCCAGGGAACTGGGAAGGCAGGAAATGGAAACTGTGGATGGGAAGTCAGTGAGTGGCCTGTGCCCCACGCTCCTCCTATTAATGCTGCGTGAAGAAGGGCTTATTTACAGTCACTGCAGCCAAGAGGATGCGCCAAGCACTGTAGCTCCCAGGATGGCCTGGACAGACAGTCACGTTGCCAGCTTCCAGGACACACCCTGCTTTCTCTCTCACAGCACCCTCACTTCCCAGCCTTTCTTCTCCCTTCTTTTCTCTGACAAATGGCTAAGGCACCTGTTTCTTCCATCGCAGTGTAAAGAACCTCATTATGTGTCCCACAAAAAAATTCCCATGTAGAAATTCTAACCCCAGCACTGAGTGTGACATTGCATGTGGAAATGGAGCCTGTAAAGAGGAGGCTAACTCCACATGAGGTCCCGAAAGCGGGCTCTGCTCCAGCATGTCCCTGTGGAAAGGGATGAGCACAGAGCCCACGCAGAAAGGAGGCTCGCGCTGGCAACTGCAAACCGACAGAGGCCTGAGGAAGCAGCACAGCTGATAGCTGTGCCCAGGCTCTTGGCCTCCAGAACTGTGCACAAGTAAATTCTTCTTGCTTAAACCCCCATTGGGGGTGCTCTGTCCCTGCAGCCCCAGCAAACAGACACAACCTGTTGAGTGTAGCTGTAACATTCAATGAAATAAATCAAACACACAAGCTTAAATATTGCGTGGCTTCTCTTATACGAGAAACCCAAAGTACAAACAAATTAAAGAGCAAACTAAAAGACAGGCAGCAGGAAACAGAGAGATAAATCTTTTGTGAAAAAGGAAGGGGAGCAAGAGATAGAAAAGGAGGAGGAGAGAGGGGATACAAATTGGATGTTAAAGGAAATGACACTTGTTATGTACACGTACCAGCTTCCCACAAGGAATGGTAATATTATATACTGCAAACATTCACTGAGAAGAATTTTAAAGTTATTCACACCCACCTTTAACACCAGGCATTTGGGATTGAAACTGAGATGGCAGGGTCCCCCCACCCCAGCTGGAAAGGTTAGCTGGAGGTCACAACTGTTCAGTTGCAAGGACTCCCCCCAGCAGGGTTGGCCCCAGCACCGAGCTGTCAAAGGCAGAGGCCTGACCTCAGTGTAGGTGGCTTCATGCACTGGGATCTCAAGGAGGAAGAAGTATGGAGGACCAGGCCTGGCAATGAGCACAACGGGATGCCCATTTCAGTGGGGGGTGGAGGTGAGGAGTTCTGGTGCATAGACCTAGAATACATAGGTGGCAGGTGTGTTGTTGAGGTCCACACAACGAGTAAGGTGGTTCTGACACAGGAAGACAGAACCAGGGGTCCCAAACTTTTAGCTCTCAGGGTTCCTGAGGGCTCCTAGAAAGGAGACTATTCTTGACCCCTAAACAGTGTCTATCAGGGTACCCTCTCTGACAGTCCCTGGCATCAGAAAGGCAAGGGTAACCATTCGAAGAAGGGATCCTAGTGCCCACAGTACCCACTGCGTGACAGCTGCTCCACACAGGCCATGAGAGGGGTCCTAGCCTGGAACCCAGCCCAATGTCAGTCATTCCAAGCCAAGGCAGGAGCTACAACGATAAGCAGCGCTTCCCGGCCCACTGAGGATTCACCAGAAGTTCTTCCCTTTGTAGCCAGGGGACGCTGGGTGTATCTCTCCCAACTGGTGTCCAAATCCCTCCTCCGCCCGTCCTCAGGAGCAGGGTCACCCATGGGGAATTACTACCCTCTCCCAGTGGGTCATTTTCCTTATTTACGAAGCAAATATCAAATAACTTAGAGGTTATGAGCAGTCTGGGCCCAGGTTTCCCGAGGGCTCACATTCCGATTCTGCCTTTATTAAGGCCTGGGCCCGTGCCTCAGTGCCCTCACCTGCAACAAATGGTAACAGCACCAAAAGAACTAAGTTAGTGTTTTTTGAAGTACTTGTATCTGTAAATATCTGCTCTCATCATTGTAACTTCGAAATACTGTTGTGAAGAAGTGAGATCACACACAGCTGGCCTCAAATAGGCACTAAGATGGGCGGGTACAAGTGTGAGCCCCTATACATTCGTTCTCACGGTCACGAATGACCCTGGGGAATCCAGAGCGCAAGAGCCAGCGCAAAAAGTTTTCCTAGTTTGCAAGTGGGAGCCACGAGCTTCAGGGAGCCCGCGCTGGCAAAGGCTGCCTAAGGCGGGTGCGTGCGGGAAAGCTCCCTGCTTCCCCCCAGGACGTAGTCCCACCAGGCCCCAGACAGCCCGTCCCCGTCCCAGGCAGCTGGGACCCAGCTCTCAAGTGGCTCCCAGGACCCCTAACAGCTGCGCTCCCGACTGTCTAGAAGGCGGCGACCCGACTGCTGGGCCAACCCATGCAGGCCTGGAGCTTGGGGACACCGCGCTGTCCCGGGCCTTTCCGGAGGGGCACACGGTGTGACAGCGCCGCCTGGCCCTGGGGGGCAGGGAGGGGACTCCTGGCACGGGACCCGCCCCAGCCCCGGACCCCCGGGGCCCCGGCGCCCTCAGCTCTTACCCGGGCCCGGAGCCCGTGCCCACAGCACCGCCACCAGCGCCAGCAGCCACATCGCCCAGCCGCCCTCCAGGCGCTGTGACGCCTGCAGCGCCACCACCACCGGCCGGGCCGCGGTTCTGCCCGTGCCCGCCCTGGGCCCTAGACCCTCTGTCCCATCGGCCCCGCCCCCGGCCTCCAAACTGGGCCCCGCCCCTGCACTGCCCCTGCGGCCTCCCCAGTTCCATCCCCTCCCCGAAATCCGAGCAGTCCACCCCGCCCATTACCGACCACGCCCACCACTTGTCCCGCCCCCAGTCAAGCCAAAACTCAGGCCACCCCAGCCTCAAAATAGGGGAGCCCCCTACTGCTGAGAACGTATGCACCTGCGACCAGTGTGTGAGTGTCTTTGATCCCTCAGACAGGGATTCTAGGGATTCTGGGAGTTAGGGGCTAGGAACCAGCTACCTCTAGCATACCTGCCCTGAGGCCAACCTGAGGCGCTGTGCTCACTCCTCTGGGGCCTCTGACCCAGGCCACTGAGAAGGAGAAGATGGGCCATGATGCAGACCCAGGGCCAAGTGGCTTACAGATATTACCAACTCTTCCCACTGTGAGCTCCAGGTCAACGCTTAGTCTCCCTGTACCTCAGTTTCTGCCATCTGTGCTACGGGGCCCACTTACTCGCTTGGGGTTAGAAAGATCAAATGAGACAGTCCCTTAAGGTGGCAGCCAGCACCTGTCAGACTGCTAATACGGTATTAGAGATAGGGACACAGAGGCAAGAGATAAAGGAACAGACTCATGTCGCAGCCAGAGACCCCAGCAAGGCCATCTAGCCCAGTCACTCTGAGCCAAAGATTCCTGTCCATAAGCTCAGGTTCTGAGCCTGTCTGAGGAGCTGGGTCAGGATCTCTGCATGGGAAAAGTCTGTGTAAGGAATGTGGAATTTTCCAGAGGGCACTGCCAGCTCTCTATGCCCCAGGCACACCTGGTGTCTAAGCCCCGGGTGTCTTCAGCCTGGAGCCAGGTCTGTAAAGCAGGCCCTGCTGGCGTCTACTGGCCAGCAAGGCAGCCCCAGCTGTGGAGCTGAGGGTGAGCTGGCCTCAAGGTCCCTGCATCTGATTCCGAGGGCAACTGAAGCCCACTCAGGCTTAGGGAGACCTAGAAACCTGTTTAGCATTGTGTCTCACTGGGAACTTGGATTCTGAGGTTATGACCAGCTGGCCTGAAGCCTGAGGCAGTGTTTAGGAGGACTAGGGATATGTCCTAGACTAGGATGCATGTGCTAGTTCTGAACAAACTATATTCCATGTTAAGCAACAGCTGTGAGTTTGGAGGCAAAGTGACCTCTTTGAAAATGCTACTACTCAGTTGAAAGTGACATGTGTGTAATGGCAAATGGGCCTGAGTTCAGGGCTAGGGAAGACGTGGGTTGGTGCACGGTCCTCAGCGTTCTCCACCCAGCTGTGCCGCTTGCAGTGACTTTCAGTTGGCGGAGACACGTCGGCTACACTTGGAGAAGTCAAACCCTGCTCTGCCAGTATATATTTCTAACTACCACCTTGTCCTTGCAAAACAGAGATTATGTCCAATCTGGCCACTCTTTGCCATGCTTTCTCTTGGACCACACTGGTGTTTCCTGAAAGTTGGGGCTAGAAAATGCTTTGCATGAAGTTCTGGGATATATAATATTGTGCACTTTTCAGCTGGGGCCTCTGTTACTACTACTCAATTTCCCAAATGATCTGGCAGAATTTATTGGTGAAGGGTTTCCTCTGTAACCCAAGGACAGAGAGTTTACCTAGTGGGTATGGGAAACACAGCCAGTGACCCTCATGGGACTCATATTTCTGCTTCACCAGTCTACACTAAAGAAACCTTCATGATCTTTCCCTACGTCCACTACCTGCCCACTCACAAGAGTAGGATGATTTAAAAAAGTTCCATTAATTGTTCACCCAGTCCTGGAACTATCAAGTCTGCCTTTCTTCCAAATTAGAATGATAATACCTAACTACTTTTACCAAATTACCTCTACTAAAAACATCTCTACCTGGCACTTCTGTATAAGCATTCAAACTGTTGTAAAGTTGATCCAGGATTCCATGTTGTTAAATACTCACCTAATCGTCAACTAATCTTTGACTCTACTTCCTATGGAGGGGACCACCTCAGAAATCCAGACTCTCCAGATAACTGGAGTCTGTGTTTTGAGAACAGATGCATTCTCTTCCATGATAGAGATGGAAGAATATGGTTTGTAATCAGTGTAAGTTTGTGTATAGCAGCTATGTCCCTAAGCTAAGAGCAGCAAAGAAAAGCAACTCCACAGGAGTCAAGCTGGTTCCCACTTGGTGCACTTCAGTGTGGATGTATCTAGGTAAGTTTGATGATTTCTTCCTATGATTGCTCATAGGCATGTTCCAGCTCAAAGCAGTGTTATATGCTTGAACTGGCACTAAAAGACATTGAAGTGTTGACTGGATAGAAGAGGCTTTCAGCTGTGACCCATGGCAGGAGGAGAGAAAAGGGATTGTTGTTAAAGGGCAGACTGCCATCCATCAGTCAGAAGGGACAAGTAGCAGGATTTTGCATGGGACTTGCAGCAGGACAGCTAGGAAGGATATGGAGTGCACTGGGTTTTTCCCTAATGGTAAGAAAATCTGAAGCTGCAGACTCAACAGATACAAATAACTAGCTAGAAATAGGGCTTCCAAATCAACTGTGTTGATAGCCCCAACAAACAGGCTCATTCACCATCTTAGCAATGATTGTGAGCTTAGTACTGGGTTCTACAGACTTGTTGGGGGAAGCTACCTAGGCCAGTTTCCAGGAAACAGAAAAGAAGGTACCCAAGATTCCTACAGGGCTCCAGAAAAAGTGGTCTGGAGTATGAAAAACTAGGAACTGGCAGATCACCTACCTAACTGACCACAAGGAAATTTACCTTCAAACTGATCACTGATGTCCAAGACTAAAATCTCATTCCATTCCTATTGGGTTAACAATATACCTTAGTTACTGCAGGCTGATCAGACCCACAGTATTCCAAAGGAGTGGACAGAGAAAGCTTAAATGAATGAGACAAGTGGTATGATTTTAGGGCTCCAGGAGAATTCCAACCTCTCACCAATATTTTCTAGGGTTTAGAACAAAGAACTTCCCTGGGTGGTTTGTATTATTAGCTTTTCAAGCAAAGCAGGGAGATACTGAACAAAATGCAGGAATCTGGGCAAGGACTTCTCCAAGTAGTACATATGTTAATTTAGATGTTATCTCCAGGAAGGCCTTCACCACAGCAGGGAGAAGTCTGTAGTTACAGTCTACATGTAGTTAATCCAGGTTGGAGCCAAACGTCCTCAGCCATGGCCTTACCTCATCCTTTGAGGCATTGCGAATTGGCAGGCCTCAGTGGGAAGCAGTGACTCACTGTGAGTCCACTGCCCATCTCCAAACCAGGGCCCAAGCCCAGGACAAACTCACATGTAAACATGAAAAGCCAGTTGGTTACTATTAGATCCTGCTCAGAGCCACTTCACAGTGGCTCCATCACATCCCATTTCTTCTACTTCCATTGAAGAAAACATCAAAGGGCAAGAAGACAGACTGAGGAACTGCTCAGAGTAAAGGAAGTTAAAAAGATACAGTCTGTGATCCAGGTGGGGATGGGGGGCCCAATGCCAAAGGACATTGTTACTGGTGTGAGAAATTCTCTTTAATATGGACAGGCTGTATTTTATCTAATGTGAATGTTAGATTTCTTGAGTGTGACTATGGAAAAGAAAGTGTATTCTCAGGAGCCCCTCATGGAAATATTTGGTGTTAACAGACAGGATGTTTGAAAATAAATCATAAATAGTTTAGCAAAAATAGTAAATCTATCACTTGAATTATATAATGCACACATGGAAAGTGACATAGAGGTAAGGAAAGACACACAGCATCAGTTAGGTGATCTGATGAAGCCAGATGAAGAGTCCACGGAATTCAGTGTACTGCTCCTGGGACTTTTAATATACTTTCCATTTTCCCCCAAAATAACTTAAATGTAAAAATTTGCTTATAGCTGGGCACAGTGGCACATACATATAGTCCTAGCTACTTGGGAAGATAAGATAGGAGGATTACTAGAGCCCAAGAGTCCAAGCTTAACCTGGGCAACAGAGTAAGATCCCATCTCAAAAATAAAGGACTGTGGAGATAGCTCAGTGGTCTAAGCACCTGGCTAGGCAAACACAAGGCCATGGGTTTGATCCCTCATACCACATGCTGTGCTGGCCCCGCCCCAGGTACACAGAGTAACCCACGAAGACTGGACATCGTGACACATGCCTGCAATCCCAGCACTGGGGAGGCGGAAACAGGAGCGTCACTACTGAGTCCAAGCTGTGCAGTGAGACTCTCTACCAAATGCATTAAAAATTTTTTTGAATTAAAAAAAGTTCATGAATTCAAAATATCTGATTTTCTTTGATTTATATATTGATCACAAGCATCCTATAATTAGTGTCACATAGATCATAAAAATTTTCAGATTTCATTTATTGTAAAGTGCCGTCCATTATAAAATGTTCCCTCCCTGTATTAGAGATGTTATAATAAATTAGATTTCTGATGTTTTGGAACTTTGAAAAGAATACTTGGACTTCCAGTTAGTTCCCATTCTGGACTCCTAACAATTTGGAGATTGGTGATAAAGACCTCTCTCTGTACATCTTTGTACAAAAGTCAGAGACGTCCAGCTTGGAGCAAGTCTAGATTAAAGTACTATGGAAGAAATAGATTGCAAGCAACTACACACAGAGGACCATCAGTTTACAGGTCCCGACTCACTTTCCCAGCAATGGGGGAAGAATCTCATCACCACTGGAAGGCTGGGCCCCGTTGGGCCCCCCAATTCACATAAGAGGCAACTTGGTTTCACAAACCATCATATGAAATTGATACTGTAGCTTGAGTTTTATTGCTGCTGTAATTGTGTGTGTGTTTCATTTATAAATGTGTTTTTGTTTTACAGTGGCAAGGCTGCTATAAACTTCGATGTCCGTATTTGTGTCATTTAGATGGTTTCAACAGCAAGAACTAAAGTCAGCACAGTCTCCACTGCACGTGCCTGACCTTTGAAGCCCAGGCCTCCAGGCTTACCTATGGTGAAGATTCTCA